GACCAGTGTTATGTTCAGTCACCTGTCTTTCTCTATGGTGACAGTTTGAATGTTTCTCCAGAAATAATAAATTCCCCAAAATGCACATCACTATGCAATATTATACTGAACAGCAAAAATACTTGTGGACTTCACAAAGACTGATGGTCCTTAACATCTTTTATTAGAATGTATTATAACATCAAATGCTACTCTTTTTATTATGAATACTTAATCTATTACATTGTTCTCAGATCACAACAGACTAACTAATGATATACATGTAACATAGTCTCTAGTAATTTTTCCTTTGACATTATTAGCAATAAAGAACTTGGATCAAGACTTTGTGCTGCCGGAGAGAAAGAGGTCTCTGCAGAACTGTCTTTAAAAAAATGTGTAAGACTGACTCCTGTAGGAGTTAATCAAACTGATAGGTTGCTAGTGCTTAATAACATTACTTACCAAACCACATATATCCCAGAGCACAACAACAATTATACACGCCTCTTGATGATGGCATTTCAGATAAAAGAGGAAAATGTAAACCAAAACAATACAACAGGATGTGCATAGAGCACTGGATAATCTTCCTACATGAGAAGGATGGGAAAAGAGAACTTCCCAAATTAATACTTATACAGTGGAAAGACTTTTTTTTTCTTAGACCAGGGCTGTCCAAATGGTGGCATGTAGCCCCCAAGCAGCCCACCAGGCTCCTAGTCTGAGCATTGCTCCCCCATGAGTCTGCCAGAGTCCCCTGGCTCCCCTCCTGTCTCCAGTTTCTGTTGCCTGACCCCACTCCTGAGGATGAAGCTGAGGAAGCCTGCACCTGGGTGGCTCAGGGGGACCCAGGGCCCCAAGCAAGGCAGAACGGGTAACCAGCATGGTACAGTGGGCTGCCTGCTATGCCCGAGAGGGATCCATGTGGCACAGAACGCAAGGCATGCAGATGCTGGGACAGCACAGCAAAGGGGTGCAATCCATGCAGCGTATTCCTGGGGGCCCTGCAGCACCTGACCACTCAGAAGTTGGACAGTCCTGTCTTAGCCAACTGTATTTTTGTAAGACAGATAATCCATTTGAATATCTTGTTTTTAATACTGCTAGTCTGGAAGAGCTGATTTCTGCTACTCTTTTCTATTTTTCAGTTACTCTTTTCTTCATCTAACTCAGGAGTGGCTGTTTCACCCATTTTCAAGGGCCAGATGAGTAGTGGAGGGTCAGTCCTTGGGCCAGATCTGTAGCACAGAGCCAGTCCACAGGGCAAATCATGAGTGTGGAACAGGGCTGGAGTAACCCTTTAGTGGGCCCTAAGCAAACAAAATTTATGGGCTCTGGGCCAATGAAGACCCTCCTCCCCATCCTGGCACTGCCGCCTGTGGGGAGCAGGGCTCAGAGCTGCTGCTAGGGAGGTGGATGGAGACATCTGTGCTGCTGCTATGGAGAGAAGACCAGAGCGCCCCACATCCAGTGCTGGATTTAGGCTTGAACTACTTAAACTACAATATGAGGGGCCTCTAGATAAGAAAAAAAAACCTGACTCAATATCAAGTTTTATAATAATCAGTTGGTAAATAAAGGAGATATGGGAAAATGACTCTCTAAATATGGACATTTTCTTTCTAATATGACAAAAATATACATACATCAGATTATTTTTATCATATGGGGCCTCTTAAGATAGACATAGCTTAAGGCCTCAGCATGTCATAATCCGGCACTGCCGTCAGCTCAGGGCCCTAGGCATGTGCCTAGTTTCCCTATGCGTTAATCTGGCCCTGGTGTGGAGCCATGTCCTCTGTCCTGGGGGACTGTTCATGGAGCTGGAAATTTAATGGTAGGCAAGTGGTGGCAGCATTAGCTGTTGCAGTGTTCGGAGCCATGGCAGCTGCCACTTATCCCACCACAACGTTTCTGACATCTGCAGCCCAGATGACATGACCCTGTCCTCCAACTATGGCCTATGGGGCTGTCTACAGGCTGTAAATCTGGTGGTGAGGTGAGTGGCAGCTGCCATGGCTTCAGGAGCCATGGCAATTAATGCCACTGCTGCTTGCCCTGCCACCACATTTCTGGCCTGGCTGGCAGGCCCACAGGCCAGATGACATGGCTCTGTGAGCTGGATCCAACCCACAAGCCATATCTTTGACACCCCAGATATAAATGCTGCAGAAGCAGTACATCTAAAATAAGTAACAAATCAGTAGGGAAAATAACCTTTCTTTTCAATTATATCAAATAAAATAAGGTCTAATGCATCATAATACAACCTACTTAAACAATGGGACTTAAGTATCTGAAGGCCACGTGTTGGCAAAGACATAGGTCTTTGTCCTTTTCTTATGTCTCATAGGTCCTTTATAAATTCTGAATCTGCCACTGGAAGCTGCTCTCCAAAGAACAGAAAACTGGTTTAAGGATTAGACTAATAAAGTAAAACAAAGCATACAACATCTGGCAGTTCCTGATGTTCAAGCGATCCAAAGAATTGTTGAGGAAGAATTGTTGAGGCATTCTCCAACTTTGGTAGTTTTGGATGTGTGATGTTGTTGAGATGGCTGGCTTCAGACTTCAGCAAGTCTTTTGACACTGTCTGACATGACGTTTTCATAAGCAAACTAAGAAAGACTGCCAGGTGAAAAAGCCCTCTAAGGGAATAAGGATCAGTGATCTGCAGTCAGACTGAGAAGGCATCTCAAGTGTGGTTTCACGTGTCTGTCTTGGCCCAGATCTATTCACTAAAAATTACTTGAAGGTGGAATAGAAACTATGTTAATAAAATCTGCAGATGACATCAAGTTGTGGGTAGAGAAGCTGTAGCACTTTGAATTCAAAATGTTCTCAATAAATGAGTGAGGTGCTCTCTGGTCAACTAGATGAAATGCTCTAAAAATAAATGCGAAAGTGCTACATATAAGAAGTTGTCAAATGCACAAATAAAAATGAAGAATGACTGTTTAAACAGCAGCCTGGCAAAAAAGGATCTGGGGGTGACAGTGGATCACAAACTAAAAATAAATCAGTAGTGGGGTGCTGTTGCAAAAAAATAACTCTAAATTTGAGATGTGTTAATGAGAGTGTTGTGGGTAAGATGTGGGAGGTAATTATTCTGCTGTATTTCTCATGAGCGGAGCCTCAGCTGGAATGTGCGTCCAAAACAGATCAAGTTAAATTGGAAAGAGTCCACAAGACAACAATGGGAATGATGAGAGGTGTAGAAAACATGAGTAAAGGTTGAGGGAACTGGCTTTGTTTAGTGAGGAAAAGAGAAAACTGAGGGAAGACATAACAGTTTTCTAATCTGTGAAAGGTTGTTATAAAGGGGATGGTGAACAATTAAAACTAAATTAATTTACTTTACCCCTCCTTAAACCAATACTATTCAAAGAGCTTTCAGCCTGTTCCATGGCAACATAGCAAACCACCATCAGTAAAACATGGCTGATTTCTATGGCAAGTGTTTCTGAGCCATAGGTATCATTATGATCCCCCTAAGTATGGAGTCTGCCTATCGTATAGTACATATAAGATATTCATTCTTTAAAACCCTGTTCAAATACGGCTAACTGCTGCTAACCATATCAATTAGACAAGTAAAAACACATTTCTAAAGCAATGCAATACTTCTATTTAGAAAAATAGAAAAAGGACTTTTTGAATGTTAAATATGTATCCATTTCTAGACCTGGACCCCAAATTAAACCAAATCTCACTGAATTTCAAGTAGTCGGACATCTCCCTTCATCTCTGCTCGGCACTCCCACCATTTTGTGATGGTGATTCACTTCTGGCAACAGCTCTACCCAAGAACAGCAGTGACGTCATTGGGTGAAAACGGTATTATTGCACTATTTCCCATCTAGAAGTATTTCCCATTCAAGATGTAACTGGAGTCTCTAAAGAAAGCCCATTCTCACATGATTCTCAAGCAAATTTGCAGACTTGGCTGGCCCAGATAAAAATGCTTCAATTGTTGGAGTGCTCATAAAAACTCAAACAATAAACTTTCTACGTTCTCCCATCACTACATGCTACAGTAAGACCACAGTTGAGTAAAAATTTGGCCTGTTTCTGGTACTTCCATTTAAAAACACAGAATCATAGAAATGTGGGCCTGGAAGTGACCTCATGAGGTCGTTTAGTCTAACCTCCTCAAGGAAGGATCATCCCTATGCAAACTATCCTACACAAGTGCTTGTTTAACTCAGGGCTGTCCAACTTCTGGGCAGTCAGGGACCACATGCCATGAGGGTCACAGATGCAGAAGCTGCATAGCTCAGGGGTCACAGACCTGGGGGCTGAATACCGTAAGGGCAGACAGGCACCCCCACCCAGTATTCCCCCGCATGCAGGCTGGCCAGCCCTTGCCCCACTGCACATACAGCATGGCTGCCTGTCCCCCCACCCCAATCCCACCTGGCTACCAGCACCATGTGAGCAGCACCCCCACTGAATCCCCCCCACCATGTAAGCAGCACCCCTCTCCTCTCCTGACCACGTGGGGAAATCTCTCCCCTCCCCCACAGCAGAAGCAGCCTGTCTCCCCCACTCCCCCCCATCATGTGCACATCACCCCCCCCCCTTGCCCGCCTTCTGGCTGTACACACCACCCACCTGCAAAGCAGGCAGCCTCGCTCCCTTTGCTGTGTACACAGCTTTGGCACACCAGCCCCCTCCCAGCCACCAGAGCAGGAGAAACTGGGTGGGGGAGAAACTTCCTACTTCAGACTTAAAACAAATAAATAACAAAATATTTACTGAGAGGTTACAGAAAAGATTGACGCAGATCTTGCTTCACACCTACCACCTATAGCCACACCTCACTGTTACTGTATGAAAAAAAGAAAGCCAAAAAAAGAAAAAGAAAAGGAACCTGGTATGCAGTTGTGGTTCCAAATAATAACAACAGTCTGTGCAGGCTCATAAATGCTTCAGAATTGACCAAGAGGAAGCACATGTTTCAAGATGACACAATCTTGTTGCTATAGTCATTCATCTAAGGGAACTCCCACAGGGTAAGGCATAAAACTGCTTAGAGAAAGATAAGAAGCTGCTCAGTGAGTGCTAGTCAGTCAAACGTTGCATTAGATCCCTAACAGATGTCAGCGTGAGCTCCAGTCAAGGTCCCTTCCAGTTCTCTTCTGGATCCCCCAGGAGTACTGCAAGGTGTAACTTGGCCCATATAGGAAGTTTCTATAGACCTTCAAGTACAGGTGCTGGGGCCAGCAGCATGCATGCCTCCCTCTACTCTACCCGACCCCCTGGAGTAGGGGCATCTTGGGGAAGTACTGGTGTGAGCCATGGAGATAGCATTTTCCTGGGTGGGAATGAGAAGCAGATGATGCAGAACCTGAATGACCGTTTGGCTGCCTATCTGGACAAAGTACGTTCTCTAGAAGCAGCCAATGCTCAGCTTGAAAGCTGCATCGTAGAATGGCACAAGAAAAGATCTCATGGGAAGCGGTATGACTTCAATCAGTTTGAGCAAAGCATCGCTGACATGCAAGGACGGGTAAGTGAGAGCTGTATATAGCTGCATCATTCTGCATTCCTCCTTCAGTTTGACAGCTGTCTTTACAGAAATGGAGATTAAATATTATAAATGCTACAGATATTAATGAGAGCTGTCTTGTGTACTCAAGGAGAAAAGTAGGAGATAGGCGAAGGGAAAGAACAGAAGTGAATGTTGGAAAGACCTATGGCATCTAGAGATGAAAATGCATATAGAGATGTTCCTTTTTTTTGGAGGAAAGTTGTGCACTGATCTGCCATGTTTTGCATAATTTGACTTCTTTGCACACTGTGGTAAGCAATACAAAGACAAATTGAAAGGCTGGCAAAATATAGAAGTGTGTTCTTTCAAAGGGAGTAGAATGTAGCCAAGTATTATGGGAGGAAGGGAAGTTGAACTAATGAGAAAAATAGAAAAACAGAAAGAGTATAAAAACCCCCCAGCAGAAGTCATTTGTGAATGTCCTGTAACAGACAGAGATGTTATATAGCTTCCAAATAATCCATATTTGCTATGCTAAACCAAAGAAATCCAATGAATTATGTACAGATAAGTTATAAATATGAATCAGTCAGTAGATGCTCTGTGCACACCATTATCTACAACAGTTTTACCTACTACTTACAATGTCCTTGCAGCAGGCTCTGGCTATTCCAAACATATTTGTAGGCAAGTAATGATGTTGTTCTTGAAAGCACATGACAAAATGAGGTCACTTCAACATTTGTTGTAGCACCGATAAAGGTTATAGGTTTTGGTCAAGTTTACCCAGTGCTCCAGCAAATGACCAAAAAAACCAGAAAGGAGCTCACAATAGGTTTGTCATGGAGTTAGTGGAACCAGAGGTCACACAGGTGACTTTGCGTTTCATTTATTGTGACCTCCATGGTAGATGGTTTTGTAAGAACACATAGACGTGAAAAAGAAGAAAGAATGCTCCATTCTAATTAAGAAAATTGCATGGACAAATTCACTTTGGGATGCTGCTTTCACTGTAATTAAAGGAAGATTTCTGGCTAGCACCATTAGATCCTATCAGCACTCAGCAATAAGCCTGCTAAACTCACAAACTCACGTGGCTACAAATTTAAACATAATATTAATCTGTCTGCATAATAAAACCCATTTAACTCAGCAATCATCTGTGACTAATCAGAGTAATTTAACACTGCCATATAAGACAAGAAACAAAACTACACAACAATGCTGTTTTCAACTTATGAATGCCATTTTTTGTTTGAAATGGGGATGTTAGAATTTCTCATGACCTTGAGAAGTCTTATTCAGAGACACCTGCTAACTGACATTAATCAGCCATTGTTGAAATACAGTAGGGAGGCCAGGGGCTGAATGCAAACACCTTTCTCCCTGCTAAAGGTATTTCCTCCAGGCACAGGATGAGGCATACTGGCCATAGGCAATACATCAGGGAAGCTGGAATTGTCACTGTCTATGCCTGTGCTGGGGATAGGAAAAGACCATCAGTCTTTTGGCTTATTGTTTCAGAACTGATTTCATTTAAAAAAAAGAAACATCTGATCCAGAGATCAATACCTGGCCTACAACTAATCAGATTTTCTCATCTTCCGTGGATTCCAGACCCACAGAATCCAGCAAAGGCAGAATCTTCCTGGGCAAAGAATGGAAGTCAGAAAGATCAAAGGACCTAAAACACTGGATTAATCAGGATAAAGTCTGCAGTGGGAGTTGGACTGTATTTATCATCAAGCATCCATAGGCAGAAAACACTTATGAGAGTCAGAGGTGCTGAGTATGTGGCGGCCCAAAGGCCCTGGCCCCCCTCAAGAAGAGTGCTGTCACCTGAAATGTGTAAAACTTTCTGCATGCCCATCATCTTAGGCCCTGCCCTGGCAAAAATAAAAGTTGGTGCCTATGATGAGAGTAGACTACCTCTTGCCTGAAAACAGCTCACTGTTGAGGATTTTACTGCTATTGTGGTCTTTATAATGAAGATACCTCCTTATAATACAGGCTGACACTTGGATTTCTGAGACTAAGAGCTCCCAGACCAATGGCTCTGCCTACCCTTATTCCAAAACTGGTGACTATTTTATTTGGTTTGGAAACCCTAATTTAAACAATTTTTCCTAATAATTTTTGAGTCCTGATGAGCCCTTGGTTGCTACCTTGGTAAACTCCATGACTGATCTGAGAGGAAGTCTGGATTATGACCATACATTCTGTTCCCATTCCATAATTTCAATATTGCATCTGGTGTTGCAGTGAGGTCATTTAATTTATTTTCTGGTCAGTGTACTTTTATTCCCCATTAAGATACAAATAAATGTAACACTGTAAATATAAAAACTGATTTATAAATCATTTAGAAAGACAGAGCTCATGAGCCAAACTGGCTTGCTAAAGCCCCGGAGACACTGGCTCGCTAAAGCCCTGGTGGGCACTGTTTGTGAGGCTGTCTACGAAGCTGATTTTAGGAAGAATTTGAATATGAATGAGTACACTTGGTAGGCATGATGTGAGCTCTGCACCAACTTACTTAGTGCTTTGCTGTCTCTACCTTCAGTGCCACAAATAATATGATTCATTGAGAGAAATCTAGAGGGCACTGCCTAAAGGCATTTAGAGCAGGGGTTGGCTACCTACAGCAGATGCTGGTGGATTATGGATCACTTTTTTGTGACTCAGGTAGCTGAAATCCACCTACACCCCGTTTGGACACCTAATTAACCAACCTGGATTTAACCTGTCATTTAGATCAGTGATGGAAACTTGTTAACCAGCTGTGGCTCTTTCACAGTCTCTGTAAAGCATCCCGAACAGTTGGGTGCAGGTCTAAGCTGCCAGATGTCCACATTTAAAGTGGCATTCCAGTTGGCAGTCTTCAGCACCCTGTACAAACAAAGACTCAGTTAATACATATACTGGATCCCAAATTAAGCCCTTTTCTTTGTCCTTTCATGGCAGGAGTCATCTATCCTTGTTATTGATTTTCCATACTATGAAATGGTATGGAACTCAGAGCATGAATGGTGCTGTCTGAGTTGTTCTCATTGATGAACTTCCACAGTGTAAATGATGGCCAGATTTATACCGCCCCTCTGCTAAGCCTGGGGCTGCTGCCAAGACAGAAGCCCTGCCAACTTGCTCCTGCTCTACTCATACACCTACACTTAGCAATTATGCAAAACAGACCTTTTAGAGGGGCCCTGAGTACAGAGCACAGCACAGCTTTTCAGTCACTCTGTCTCAGGAGAGCTCAAGAATGGGACTTAGGACCTATATAAGCTATAATTTTTGTGCTTGGCTAGGGATGCAGTATACTCATAGTCTATAATTCTCAAAAAGGGTTTCAATTGCTGTTCTTTTTCTTGTTTCCTGACAAGTTAACACATTCCAGGCAGCCAAGTGCTATTGTATTTTTCAGCTGGTCTTTTTCATGTCTTATGACAAGACCTGAGGTAGGGTGAAACTGCCCATGTGCACTGCCTGCTCAGCATATCAGATGCTCAGTTTTCTCAAATTAAAAGTCAACTTTTGACACTTCAGGATAATTTTGTCATGGTTCAAATTTCCTGGTTCCTTTAAGATTCATTTAGGTGCAAAAGGTGTTATTTGAAAAGCCACTGGGAGTTCACTCAATTTTGCCTTCTTATACTGACATGCTTCACCTTGTTTTCCTATAAAAATATTTAGTGACGGCTGAAGTAGAAATGTCCATGTTTTTCTTTTTCTTTCATAATTGGAAAAGGGCTCACTATATTAGTTTTTAGGAAACTAGATTGTGGGGGTTTCAAATTCAGACTTGTGGCTCAAGCCTACCTCACACTAGTCAGAACTGAAAGCCATCACTTGTTGGTTTTCCCTGCATCTGCTTGAAATAAGCTGATGCTTTTAGTCCTGTTCCTCCTAGGGCAGTTTTCCACATCACAAAAACACTAATGGGATTGTCAAGAATTTGTTACTCCCTGGTGGCACATTCAGTATAGTGGGAGATGAAGCACTGAATGGATAGTGAAGACTGAATACCTGTTTAATTCCCAGAAGACCTTCCTTTCAGGTCAAGAGTGAGATCCATTGACAAGCATCCACTTCCCAGGCTATTGAGACCTTCTGGGCTATGGCTTGGATTCATCAGCCATGTAAGCACATGCCAAACTTCAAGCCCATTATTAGTTCTATCAACTTCAAATGTATTCACTTAGACACAGTTTAATTTCCTTGCTGAAAAGAGAGCTAAGAAAAGTCTTCTCCGGGGCTGTCAAGTCAGATCCTCTAATAAGTACAATATTTTTTCAATTTAGAGAAAAAATAGTAACTGTCATCCTAGACCAATATATGAAACCTGTGTAATATTATTCATGTTCATTGTCAAAAATGGTTAAAATGATTATACTTACTCTGTGGCCAGAAAAATGATATGAAGAAAAAAAAATGTTGAGAATAATGGATAAACAATTTTAAAAGCTCCTAAATGACTTAGGTTCCTAAGTATCATTTTGTCACTTAGGCTCCTAAGCACATAAATTAGAGGACTTGAAGGGTGCCTATGCATGTGCTCCAACACGTTGTAATTAGAACGTGGAGAAGCTGACTCAATCTAGTCTGCTCCACATGAATACTGTAGCATCACTGCAGCATCATATGTATAAGCCCCTGAGGGTTCAAAAATGGCCACGGGAGTGCTTTAACTAAAGCTTGTCAAATGAGTTTTAGTTAAAGCATGCCATGGCCATTTTTAAATGCACAGGGGCTTGATACATATGATGCTGTGGCATTTTAATTAGAGCGGCTCTCCAGGAACCACTCTAATTAAAATGCCTCCCCCCACACCCAAGCACATGTATAGATGGCCAGAAATTTTACCCTAAACGTATTCCTGCAGACAACAGGAACTCCAGAACTTCAGACATCCCCAATATGGAAATGCTGAGCATCCTTGATTTGGCTATGGATATGGTTGACTCTAGATGTATTTTACAGATTCAGGATGGCAAAGTCAACAATGCCAGTGTTCTTCTGCAGATTGATAATGCTAAACTAGCATCTGAAGAATTCAGACTCAAGTAAGTTCTTTCTTTTGTTTGTAAGGAACGGTAACAATTTGTATAAGATTTGTTTCTACTGAAATGCTTGGGTAACATCTGATCAATAAAAATCAATCTACAATATACATCAAAATAAAAGAGAGTAAGATAATAAATAAATAGTAAAATCATGAATGATCATTGAACAATCTTAAGTCACCCTTTTTACAATACGTAGGTCAGGGTGTGAAGAGCAGAGTTTACTGCAGCCACTTAGTTTTTATCACAAAAGGCATTTACAGACTCAACACTAAGTATAAATTAATACTGTCTTGCACCCCATCCTCTGTCATTCTGTCTCCCATGGCTGTCAGATTATTCTTCCTGACAAATAGCTGCCCCTTTCCCTCAGTAATCTCTCCTGTTTCCCACAGTTGTGTTGCAAGATTGACTGGTGCCTGCTGAACCTCTAGGGCAGTGGTTCTCAAGCTTTTTTTTTTTTTTGCGGACCACTTGAAAATTGCTGAGGGTCTCGGAGGACCACTTAATCTCCATCATCAGAAAAAATAAATCAAGTGCAGAGCCAAGTACAGATATTCTTGGTTGGTCCACAACCTTTCTGTGGACCACCTAAATGGAGCTCGCGAACCAGTGGTGGTCCGTGGACTACAGTTTGAGAACCTCTGCTCTAGGGTACAGTTTCATCCCGCAACACATTGTATTGAGAGTTTTATCTGAACAAGAAACCTGAATGGTTTAGCTTAGAGATGCTGAACCTCTGGCCCATGGGCCAAAAGTGACCCACAGAGATCTGGCACCTGGCTTGTGGGGCTCTCCAAGGTTCAGGACATTTGGCAGCAGGGGAGCAGTAGCCATTAATATGGCCACCTTCCCACCTGCCAAATTCCCAAACCCCAAGCCCTTCACAATCATCAGAGCTGGGCTGTAACCCAATTCCCCTGTGGGGCCAGGCCACACTCCATTCCCCCTGCCCTCCTGTTGGGCCAGTTGGAGCTAGGCCATTATCTCCTGCCCTCCTACCTCTCCTTCCACTCCAGGGCTGGGTCATGCCTCCTTCCCTCTGCAGGGCTGGGCAATGTCTCCTCCCCCCACATGTGTACTGGGCCAAGCCACACACCTTTCCTCCCACAGGGCTGGGTTGGAGCTGGGCCATACCCCTTTCTCCCCCTCTGTGGGGCTGGGCCACCCTCCCTGCCCACCCATGGGGTTGGGTTGGAGTCAGGGTGCCCTCTTCCGTAGAGGCAGATGGTGCCTGCCACATCTGCCCCAGGGACAGGATCAGGACCACCAACCCAGATTCAGCCCATAGACAGACCAGGCACTACTCATCTAGCCTTCTGAAGCAAAATGTTGAACACCACTTGTCTAGCTGGGATTGAAAATTGCCAAACAAAAATATGTACAGGATGGGGTTTTACAATATTGTAAGCTGGATTCTAAACAAAACTGAATAATTCCCTCCTTTCTGCAAAAGATCATCAGTCATTAAAGTGGCCTTACCATCCTTAGGCAATAAATAAGAAAATTACTCTTTTCTTTTAAGACTCAACCCCCCTCCCCATTATAGATTGATACTGTACCCCCTGTACTTTCTCTGCACTTCTTTTCCATTCCTTTCATTTCCTTTCCCTTCATTAGTAGTTAACTAGATATACCATTCAGTGGCTTCCCAAAAACTGGAACAGTGGAAAATGCTTCCATGGAAAGGAAAGTTGTCCGTGATGAGATTATGGTGTGATTATCACATTCTGACATGCAGCTGAGGAATTAGTTGTAGAAGTTTCAGTAGCGAATTCAGATGGTACAGAAGGTTTGTTATATCGTATCTGAGACTGGGGAGAAAGCAGGGGAACACAGACTCTTCCAGACTGAAGGCAAAACTTGAAGGTCTTTTGTGAGGTATTTTCTTTGAGTCTAGTTTCCTAAATACAGTAAATTTCAGGAGTTGTTTTAAAAGGAGCATAATTAGCTAGCTTTGGAGCACAATCTTTCCCTTGGTCCTTTCTTCTAGAATACATGGTGATTACTTTTGAACAGACTGCAGAAGGCATTATATTCTGCATGTTATATGAAAAGGATTGTGTAAAGTTTTAGAATTTATGGATGTGTCTACATGTACTTTTACACGTGCCTAAACTTAATGTGTATTTGCCTAATGTGCATTAAGGCATTTTAGGTATGTGTGTACACGTGTATGTGCTAAGGCACATTAATGCGGTGTGCAGACCAACTTGGGACGAAAGTTAGCCCTAAGTCACTTGACTTACACAGCATTGATGTGCCTTAGAGTGTCCATATGTGCGTTAAGGCATTTTAGCTATTCATGCTTAAATTTGATATGTGCTTTTACAGGTATCAAATTTAGGCACAAATAGCTAAAAATTGTCATTTTTAAGGCTCATTAAGGGTGCACATGTGTAGACCTGTGTGCTTAATGTGCCTTAAAAAATGGCTAATGCATCTTAAATCAGCACATGTAGACACACCCTTTGAAAAATGTCTTGTTAGTGCTGTGCAAACATGATGAATGCTAGTATGTGAACAAAGAAATGAAAGAAAACCCCACTTTGGTTTATTTTCCCTTAGCATCAAAAAGTGTGGTGTGGTGAGGAAAAAGAATTAAATAATAGTACAACAGAGTTAATTGTTCAGAATTTCTGAAAAATAGAAAGTATATGTTTTAGAAAGAGTATATAGTTTTTCCAAATTCCACACCTTCTCTCACAAAAGATTTCATTGCCTCTGCTTCTCTTTGATGCTATTTGTAGAGATCTCAGCACCTGACCTGGTTTCAACAAGCATGTTTTGCTTCCTCTTTCCTGATAAAGGTATGAAGCAGAAAAATACCAAAGGCAAGGAGTGCAATTTGACGTTGAAAACTTGCGTAAGGAACTTGACAACCTGACCATTGTGACAACAGACCTGGAAATGGAAATTGAAGGTTTGAGGGAAGAGCACATACTCAGGAAGAAAGACCATGAGGCGGTAGGAAGTGTTCTAGCCCTTAACACATCCTGTAATACAGTTCTTTTGCTGATAGGTGGTAAAAATTGGCTTATACGTGGGGTATATAATTCTGGGTTCATAATGTTCAAAGAGAGCTAGATCATACCCAAAAATTTGCATTTACACATAATCTAATAGATTGGAGTTCTCTAACTCTAATTTCAAGTAAGACATCCACTCAATTTTGGCCTAAGAAAAGTTCACTATTACCTCATTTGTAAAATAAAATAGTAATACTTCCCTATTTTACTGAAATGTTCTAAAAAATAATTATACATATACTGACTGCAGAAGTACAGTAGCTGCAGATAAAACCAGTAACCTATAAGCATTATCTTTAGCTGCTCCCTTAGTTCTTATAATCAACACAATAGATAAGAATAACATGAAGAAATTATCCAGATAATATAGGGTGTCTAGACATGACCAGCAACACCGCTCAGGCACATTGTAATTACAGCACATTGGAGCAAACTCAACCAAGTCTGCTGAAGCATGGTAATTACCGTGCCAGACTCCAGCATCTCAATCAGCATCCCCATGCTGAAAAATGTCAGCAGGGGTGCTTTAACTAAAGCTCATCTGATGAACTTTAGTTAAAGCACCCTTGCTGCCATTTGTCAGCATGGGGATGCTGATACACGAGACACTCCAGGTGCTTTAATTAGTTCAGCTCTCTAATTAAAGAGCCCCTCCCCAGTACATGTACAAATGCCCATAGTGTTTCCTAAGGTATGAAATTATCACTATTGTTAATTTCAATCTCATATTAACCCTTATACCCTGCAGTTGAGGATTACTTTGAGATTGTTGGGTTTTCTGCACCCAAAACTCAAAACGAATATTAGTTAAGGGACTCGGGGATGATGAACTCTGGAGAAGTCAAAATTAAAATAAATTATTTCATGAACCTCTGCAAGATGAAACAAGGCATTTTTCCAAAGATCTAAATGCAATTAGTGAGATCAGAACCCTTTGGAATTAAAACTGACCATTCTTAATTCTCACATTGTTCTAGTGCTGTGTGCTATTGTCCCCACACTGCTATGCCAGTACTTGATCATGTCTTCTTCATTCAGAAACTCTCAGTCATTACCCACTGAAGTACTTAAACACCATGGCTAAGTACAGGCATTCAAAAAGCCTGAGGCTGAATGGATACAGTCTTCATGGGTTAGTTTAAACTGCATAGATTGAACTGATAAGCAAGTGAACAGACATTCAGATTTGTTCTGGCAATACAGCCACATGTCTGCAATGTATTAGGACGGAAGTGGGGGGTGCTAAAGCATGCCTCCCTGGTTGCCAGGAGCAGGCAGCTTGGGCCAAGCCTAGCTTGCCCACCCTGCAAGAAGGGATTTGCTGGGGAGGTGCAAAGCATCCTGGGATGCTGCGGGGGTTGTAAGTCAACTTGAATCTGGGAAGTAATCTGGGATAGAAGTTCAGTAAACTGATTTAACCTAATCAGTTAAGTCTGATACTACATCCACCCAGGTTTATCTTAAACTGGTTTCTGTCATTTTGAAAGTGGTTTATGTGCACTGAACTTCTGTTGTGTTATAGATTTTAGCTGGTTTCTGATCACTTATACTGGTTTATGTGTAACTTCTGTCCCTAGCCCATGAGTAGAGCTCAGGGGTGGATCCAGGGCACTAAGGGGAGTACAGTTGCACTCTTTTATGGTTGTGCAATGCATGCACAGTGAGCACAGCTTGTTGTTGTGGGCTTCTGCTGGATCCATCACTTTGTCTTGGCTCTGGAGCCCAGGAGGTGAGTAACACCACTGCTTGTCCTCCTACTTTCCCTTGCTGTTGAATTCAGCGGGGGGGGGTGTAAAAGGAAGGGGGAAAAAGCACCCCCTGGGCTTCAGAGTCACACCAAAGCTGTGACTGTAGCAGGAACCCATGCCAATAAGCGGGTAAGCTCAGAGAGCTCACTGTGAAAGTGTCACATAGCCAAAGAATGTGTGGCCACACACCTTACTGCCCTCCTGGATCCACCCATAGTGGAATTCTTTTCATTCCTGGTCATGCAAGTGGCTATTTTTTGGTTTACAGACAGGTATGAATTTTATTCTTAGATGCAGAGACCTGTGCACATAGATGACTACATGTGCAATAGTCCATGCACTGGCCATGTTCATACCCAGACACATGCATGCAGTCCTTGTTGATACATGGTGGTATCCGCCACTCAAAACTTGTGACTAGCAGTTGTTAGATTCATGCGGAGGACGCTTCTGTGTTTTAGCCCCCATCACCAGGCAGCTAGGGAATCAGAACTCCCTGTCCAGGGAATCAGGGTTCCCATAGAACCTGGGACTTGGGGCTCCCTGTCCAGAGGTGGTTTGAATTCTGTCTCCTTGAGTTTCCACTACAGCAATTTAACCACCATGCCACAGGTGAAGCATTCTCCAAGCTCTACTCTGGTTCTCCTTTTAAAGCTGGTCCCCTGGCCCTGTATATCCTGCTTCCCTGAAAAATGGTCTAACCACCAATCCATTATCCCAATTGGCATTATCCTGATCTCTCTCCAGCTTTCCCTTTGAAATGGGCTCACTGTGGAGCCCAAAGAAGTGCATATGTGGAGTCAGGAGGAAGGGAGCAAGCCAGAGGGCATGCTTTTCAATGAGGTTATCACACTTTAGAAAGAAAGGGGGCCTGCCTTCCAACCTGGGCCCCCCTCCTCCTAATGAGGTTGGGCTGTTTATCCAATCAATATTAAATGCAAGGTTTAGGGGACAACTTAGACCAAGGCCTGGGCACTAGGCTATTGGGGTAAAAGACAGGAATGTCACTGTTCTCCCATAGTCCTCTGGCATCTAAGACCAGCAAGTTATGACTTTTCTGTAACTAAAAGTTTAGGATTTACTCAGCCTCACACACATACGTGGCAATCCTATTTTACCAAGCAGCTTCCCAGCCAGAAAACAGTAACTGAACATGATTAGGGGCCCCACATAGGCTTGAACATGCAGAGCTGAATTGCAAACTATATGTAAGTGCCACAAACTGCACGTCTGTGGCTGCATATACACCATTTAGGTATATATGTGTATATCAATAAAAATAAATAGGATTCTTCCCTAAGTATCTTACTTTGTGATTATAGTGTACTATTAAGTAGAATAGAAAGTCAAAGACTAGACAAGTGAGACTTCCCTTAGCTGGTTTCCTTGCATACCTAGTAATGAATAACTAAGGTATAACAAGTCTAGGAAGCTGGACACACTAAAACGACTTGACGGTGTCCAATCAGTCTGCATTTTGGAGGCTGTAGTGTCATGTCCTGGAGTGCTGCTTTTTCTGGGTGCTTTTGAAGTGGTATCAGTGTGTGCTACACTGGAAGGAATGTTGTCACACCTGCTTGACTTGTTCTATAATCATCTTGTTTACACAGTAGTTATATATTTTAATCTAATTGTTCCTCTAGCAATTACATAGAACTTTTTTAGCAACCTCGCCTAAACTTATCATTTCATAAGTACTAACATCTATCTACATGAAACTACATGAAATTACAACTGGACTTAAATGATCCTGCCCAATATGAAGTTCCTTCAGATAAACATTGAAAGTTCCAGTGCTTGTTCTTGTGTCATGCTCCTAGAAATCTTTCAAAAACAGGCTCCATCATCAGTTTTTGGTTGAATTCTCTGGCTTATTCCTACAGCAGGAGAAGGAACAGAAGCGGACCATTGGTTTGGCCATGTCATGCTATTACACGGCGTTTTTCCTTTCTGGCTTGAGCAAACACCCTTCAGCTCAAAAATTCATGGAAACATTTTAAATCAACTAATCAAAATGTTGCTGAACTTTTGTAGGAGATTTTGAACTCTAGCTGTTTCAGATTTTAGATGAATAGATATGTTAATTCTTATTGTAGCCCTATTAACTTATAAGCCTTTTAATCTAGTGGTTCCCAGCCTTTTCAGTTTCAAGGTAGCCCTCCTTAGACTCAAGGCACCCTTTAGACACAAGGCACCCTCCATACCTTTTATGAATTGAGCAGCATCCCATTCCAAAAACTAACTTATTTATTACAGTGCTTACCTTCTTGCAGAGGGGCTGGGCAGTGGGATCGGGGGTACAGCCAGGTAAGGAAAAGCCAGAGCCTGCACTTATTTGCTTATCTCCTCACCCCTGGCTTATCTCCTCAAACCTTGGGGCACCATTCAGAGGACCCTGCAGTGCCCCTCGTTGCCCTAACATTCTGGCTGAGAATCACTAGCTTAATGACTTAAATGGCATGGGTCTGAAGAAAATGAAGAAGACCTGATTGGGTTTGGCATTCACACTGTTAAAAAACACAAGATTCCTTTTCAATAAAGGCCATCAACCTCTTTCTCATGAACATCTTAGTGTTTTGTCACATGTTTTGCAGATTAAATATTTGTTGTACCATATACATATAAGAATCCTACTCATTTTTCAGGAAGCAAATGCCCCACCTAGGGAATATTTCAGCTAGACTAAAAGTAGTCTCCTTTCTACCCAATCTGAATTCCCTAATTATTTGAGAACTTCCATAATTGTCTAGGTTCTTCTGTGTGCTCGCTGTAGCTGGTTCCTTATGAAGTTGTATGCTATAATGGTGTTTCATAGTGGTGGGTCTGAAATTTAAAATGAACAATCAGATTAGTAAACACGTCAGTCTAGATGTTTGTTACTCTATAATTATAAATAAATAATTACTGCAGGCAGTGCACCTGCCTGGCTGAACACAGGGATGGAGTTAACATACAGGCCTGTACCAACAATTTTAGTGTGCACAATGTATAGGCTGGTAAGAGTCTTTCTGCATGAAATGTAAAGTGTGCTATAAAGTGATTTTACTTGTCCCTTGAATGAAATTGCAAGAAGGAGTCTTTTAAGATTGTCAGGTCCAAGCAGCATAGGTGCGAGTATAATGATTAACTCATTAGAATGAAAAAAAAAATAGTGCTACTTACTGGGCACGTCTACACATTCATTAATGCACCTTAGACACTGCACATTTAGTTTAGTATTTCTTTAATAAAGTACTAACTAAATGTGCAGTATCTAAAATTACTGCACAGTAGTGCTGGCACACAGTTGTTTAGTAATGCTTACTGGTCATTAGCCTAATAACGTGGTGCAGTTGGCTATTAGCAAGTTTTTTGCTGTGACACGCTACTGCGCTGTGTTATCAGGCTAATGCACAGTAAGTGTCTCACGTAGACATGACCAATGAGGATGGGAATGGATGGGATAAGATGGTAATGAGAATTTTTTCTCCCCCTTTTCATAAATACATCACAAATAATTATTTCTTATCCTCTGCTAATCCGAGTAGGATATGCACAAACAACGTTCAACCAAGGATGTCACCGTTAATGTGAAGGTGAAAGCAACACCACCAGAAGATTTGGCCAAGATTCTAGCAGGGATAAGAGAGGATTATGAAGCCATTATTGAAAAGAACCGCCAAGGCCTTGATGTCTGGTACAAAGAGCAGGTAACAGAGAGCTACACAAACTTCCTTCTGATAATTTTAACAGACAGTCTATTTTTATAAAGGGTATATCAGTATCAGTAAACTTTTCACTTGCTTTTGCTCCATAGACTTCAGCAGCATCCCTGGCAGTGACCACCAGCCCAGAACAAATACAGAACAATGACAAAGAGATCAAGGACCTGAAGCGCATTTTCCAGACACTGGAGATTGAGCTGCAGGCACAGTTAAGCAAGGTACCAGCCAAAGAAAGCAATGGCAGGTCATTTGTATTCAATAACTTCTTCAGGAACCTGTGACTTGGGCTAAATTTTGTTCTCATTTACACCCTTGCATCTTTGACTTCCATGAAGTTATAGGACCATAAGTGCATGACGTATATTTCAAAGTGCAATGTGTGTTCTGGATTTCCTTTGCAGAGGTTAATAACAAGAAATAATGTGGCCTTTAAAGACCCTATTAACACTATACCCAGAAAGAAAAAGCATTTCTAAGATATGACTTGGACTGTATTTATGTTTACTCAGTCTTTGTGAGGAGGAGTTTTAAGTTGATTATGATTAATACCTGAGAAAGGCATGATCAATGACCATTTCAAAGCAGTTTCATGCTAGCATAATTCCATTTGAAAACAAAGGAGTTGCCCTGTTGTAAAACTGGATGAGCAGAGTGGTGAATCAGGCCAGAAACATGCTATTACTACATTACCATAAATAATAATTCTTGTGAGGATTAGTTATAATTCTGGATATCATCACAAGTTCATTCCTATGTTTCATTAAAGGAAGACCCAGTAAGAAGAAACGAGGCTTTAGCAAGGGGAATAGGGATAGGTTGATTTATGCTCCATTTCTACAAACAATTATGTACATGAAACATTTTACTTGTGTGACCTATCCTGAATTCACAAAGATAGTCATGAGTGTGACTAAGGGTTTGACAGACTGGAACCCTGGGATCCTACATGTGTGCGGAGTCTGCTGGAGCGTGAAAATTGACACGCTCCGGCAACCTTCTGTGTCACATGTATCAGTGTCACTGTGCATCTCCCCGCTGAAAAAATGGTGGCAGAGCACTTTGAAATAAAACACGTTTGATGAGCTTTAGTTCAAAGCACCCTACCACCATTTTTTCAGCACGGGAATGCCCAGGGATGCTGATACATGTGATGTGCGGCTCACCCATTAGTGCAGCTCACTGATTAAAAAGCACCCATGTCCTAGCATGTGTAAAAATTCCCATTATGCTTGCAAGTTCTTCTGGTTACAGACCATGTCTTTAGGCATTTTTGTGCAGCACCTGACACATTACGGCCACCTCAGAAATAACAAGAATGGTTTTATCTGCTCTTTCAGAAACATGCCCTGGAAGATACCTTGTCTGAGACCCGAGCTCACTATGCCTCTAGGCTGCAGAATATACAAGAGTTCATCTCTAAATGTGAGGAAGAACTGAGTGAGCTCCGTCATGATGTCAGGTGCCAAAGCAACAAGTACAAGGTTCTTCTTGGGATCAAAACCCGCCTGGAGAAAGAGATTTCCACTTACCAGCTGCTGTTGGAGGGAAGGACTGATGAGTAAGGCAAAGTCAGGCTGATCTGAGCAGAGTCGTCATGTTCATGTGATTTTTGTATTTGTATTTACTCAAGTGTGAAATTGTGGAAGAGGCAAGGATTTTTGCTGGTGATATCTTTTATTGGCTCAACTGCATGTTTGGGATAAAGCTAAACAAGAATGCTTTACCATGTATTTGATCCAACAAAAATCCTTGCCTCTTGCCTAATTCTTGGACCATCACAGTTGCAACATCACTCCAACACTACTAAAACTCATAATAAGAATCTGTCTTTTTATGTGTACAGACCATAATTAAAAGCATATGAGATACTAATTGATAAAGGGGCTTGGGCATGGAGACTCACTCCAGACAAGCTGGAAATTTCACTAAAATGCATAGTTATTTGGACTAAATATTAGTTTGCTTTATGTACCTAAATACACATACACAGCATGCAATTGTAGTTTCTGGCACTTCCATACAGTTTGCGATTACACACTGTTGGCAAATAGATTTGCCGTACCTGCATACCTGCTGGAAGTAAAACGGAGAAGGCAGAAGGGCCCTCCCACCTTTTTCCAAATATGCTAGTGGTTAGGGCAGTTGCCTAGGAAGTAGGACACCTACATTCTAGTGCACCCTCACCCAGACAGAGCTGGAACATCTATCCTGCTTTCCAGAAGGTTGCTATAACAGACATTGCCTTGCTCCCCCTCCAGTCTGCTTCTTGAACTTAATCCTCTACTTGCTGCGTTTCGTATTTCTTAGATAAATATCACAGGGGAAGTTCTTGCCCCATTGGAGACAGGAGCCTAGGATAGAACGTAGGTCCTCTCCTGCCAGGGCAGCATTCATCTCATTGAGGCACAAGCCTTCTGTTTTGGGCTCTTCCTTTGGCCTAGCTTCAAGAGCAGGGGCAGAGAAGGCTTTCAGAAATACCTAGACCATGGCCTAGTGGTTAAAGCAATTTGCTAGCAAGCAGAAGATGCAGCTTCAAACTTCTGGGTGGATGGAATCTAAAATCTGCGTCTCTTGCTCTCTGGGCAATTGCCCTAGTCACTAGTCCATTAAGCTAAAAGGTAAGAGGGTTTCTTCACCTAAGATGGTTCTTTTGTGGCTAAAACTTCAGGACTTACCTGGCCTTATAGACATATATGAACAATAGTATTTCACCATGCTGCTGCTCAACCAAAGCCCATCCCAACTGGGCATATTTAGCTAGCAGGCACACCTGGGCTTACTCAAGAAGAGGTGAACTGCATACTTTGTGTAGTCATACAAACAAAAATCAGTTCTGCAGCTGTGCGCACCATTTAGGAGCATAAGAGGAAATAGGATTTAGTCCTTTAGATCTTTTCATCCCAGTTTATAGATCAAAAAAAAAAAAGCAAAAAGCTTGGAGGACAGTTTAGATAGGTTTTGGATAAACATGAATCTCACCATGAAGTTTTGCCCCTTACTAATGGACTGTGTACTTTATCCATTTCTGATGCATATGGATCTCAGCATTTAGAAACCTCTGGGCCTCCCAGTCCTTTCTGCTACCAGGAAATACAGAATCTGTTATCAATACAATGAAACCTGGGAATTAATAAACCAGACGAGGGAAAGTTCTTTGTGATACTAATAGAGGAAAATCATAGGGAGATGGGACAAATATCAAACTTCCTAGCAGCACTCTGAAGGGTCCTAACTCTACCCATATAGAAAGCTCAAAATAAAATATAACATTTCTCATAAGTAACCATAATGTGAACAAGACAGGGCTATTTGGGCAGAGGAAGAATTCAAAGAAAGAGTAACTAGACTCAAGAGTAGTGAAGAGTGAACCCCTTCATAGTAAAAAAATGGTTTTTGTCCTTTACATACTGGCACAGTGGTTACATTAACGTACCAAAACATATCCATTCTTTTCTGCTTTTCTTCACAGGATAACAAGGAACTTTGAATCAAGTGCTAAAGGTAAAAACTCCATACTGTATTTTCTTTTTTATAGTGACTGTTTCAATGCTCTTGGAAATTCCTGTCACAATTACCTTAAATTAAATGTATTCGTATGTGGGGGCCTATGTAAGGTTAATGAACCACTTAAGTCCCCACTTAAGCCATATTTTGCCATGAACAAAGTGACGTGTAGCCCTTGCTCAAGAATTAATTTCATGCAGCATGTACCCGTCTGTCAACAGATTACAACCTATTTTTGGAACAGACTTCCCCAATCAGTGAAACGTACTACCAAAAGCTAAACTAAGACCCTCAAGATCCATGAACAGCAGTGTCAACTCCACAAAATCAGCTTGAACAGTGATTCTCAACCTTTTTAGACTCAAAGCACCTCTTAAATTCAAGGCAGCCCTTGGAAAATGCCGGTTCTTAGTTTTCACTCATTTTTTGACTACAGAAAAATAACAAAGCTATTTTCCTGTTATACAGAACCCAGAAAGGACACGGCAGGTCAGAATGGTTTTAACACTGTGAATTTCTGTTTGAAATGTCTGGGTTTATCTTGTGAATTGTGCACACTTAACAGTGCACCCTACAGCACCTCTGAATGGATCTCAAGGCATCCCAGGATGCCACAGCACCCTGGTTGAGAATCACTGAGCTAGAAGATAGCTTCCCTTTGACTCAAAAGAAACATTTGGGAAAGTTTGCCCTTGTTGTCTTAGTGCGGATAGTTTTATTCAGGAGTAAGACTAGAGGCATTCAGTGTCTTATCACAATTATGGATTTGCTAAATCCACTTTAAAACTGGATTTATTCTTGCTCAGAATTAGCCGTATATATTCATTAGCCCTGACTTAGCCTAACCCCAAAGTAACTTTCCAGCAATAGTATAATTAATAGCAAAATTAGCTATTGACTTCAAGGAAAATGTGGCATGTAATACCACTTGGGGATATGGCCCATAAACTGATACATTTCTTATTTCCATTCAGAACATACGGCATCGACTGACCACAGGCTGAAGACAATTGTGCAAGACAGTGTGGATGGACATGTGGTGTCCACCACCATAAATGAGATCCACCAGCTGGAATAAAGCAACATATTACTTGCTGGCTCTGCCAAAACCAGATGTGTGACATGGGACAAGTTCTATCACTGTTTTATATCTCAGTTTCTCCACCTGTAAAATGGGGATGAGTCTGACCTCCTTTGTTAAGTGCTTTGAGATCTATTGAGGATCTCAGTAAGATCTTTGTAAAAGCTAGGTGTCATTATTGCTGTTATTAGTTTGAAGAAAAATTCTTCTAACCATTAAGACATGAAGGACAAGCCATTCAATGAAAATGATCAAGCCATGTAGCTAATGTATGTATCATACATGTCTCACTAGTGCCATGAATCTGCTCATCTCCATCTTCAATTCACTTATTTCTTTGTAAACTAACGATAATTTAAAGTTAATAATTTCCCAAATTTTGTGCCAAATTTGGGTACTTTGTATTTCTTCTTATTGTAAACACAATGTCTCTAAGATAAACTTGTTCCAATTACTTTTATTAGTAGTTAGGGGGGTGTAGAAAAACCATTCAGAAGCCTTTTTGTATTTAGAATCACTGACAGACTCAAGAGGCATGAAGATCTTAAGTTTCTTGAACCTGGATCAGCATAAAAAATACCCAAAAAGTAGTGACAAGGTCACAAAGTGCTATAGGTGCTTATTACCTAAAAAAGGCCCACCTGGTATTTCCTGTGCATAGCTTTTTTAATCTCAGGGTTTTAAACAACATTGCTTTTAGCATTGTTTTAAATTGTATTGGATAAAATGCCCATTGTGGAAATGCTTATTTTCTTCTCCAAGCTTCTGCAACAGGCACCTGCCTCTTAAAATGTTCCTTTCATCACTTGCTATTATTATTATTATTATTATAGATTGTAAATTGTCCAGTGATTTTCTTCACCTTCCCATTCCCAAATTTTCTCTGTGATCCAATTAACCATCACTTGACAGGTACCTTGAAACAGATTCTCATATCTCCCATTGTTGGTGTTGAATAACAGAGATAAAGAGACAGACAGAAAGATGCAATAAGTACTGAGGAGCCAGAGCATGTATCCTGTGAGGATCAGATTTGGTGCGGGGGCAGGGACAAATAATATGGTTGGTTTTTTTCAGTTTAAACATTTTTTCATGCAAAAGAATTTTGGTCAAAACAATTTTTTATGGGACATGTTTGATTTCTTTGACTATTGGAGGTAAGGCAAGGGTTCATTAAAATAGATGAACACTGAACACCTTAGGAGTTTCAGATGCCAAAAATTGAGTACTTTCAGTTTCGTTTTGTGTTTTCAAAAAAACGTAAAAAATGTTTAAAAAGGGGTGTTTGATTAAAACAATGTTTATTATAATCAACATTTTTTTCAAGAAAAAAAGTCCTGACCTACTCTAGTAATAATGAGAAAAAGGGTCTGATGACCTATCTTAATTGTCACTGAAGTCAAGGAAAGCTTTGGTATGCCTGGAAAACAAACTCACAGTCACTGTAGCTAATATCTCCCCACACAGCACATCAGCATATTACCATAGTCATAAGAGGTCATCTCAGCAGTAACGGAACAAGTGGCAATGAAGTGCAATGATAAGCGTAGAATCAGGGAAACAGAATCAACAGGAGTGGCTATTCAAGCTGGGACGACAGGAAAATGGATTAAAGGAAGCAAGACAACACAGAGCATAATAGGTTTTTATGGGTGACACACTCAGTAAACATCTATATCAGACAAAAACATTTTCTTTTGGTCAGTTTCATGTCAACAGGACAGACATTGTAAGTCATTTGTACCAGCTGGTTCTCACTTCAAATGGGCTTGCATATATATTTTGTCACTTGTCTTGCACTGAAACAGGGTTTAACAGAAGGTGAAAACTTCAGCAACTCATGAAAAACGCACTTCTAAAACAAACAAATTCCAGCCCTATGACACAACTGGTTCTTACTGGCATGTCAGAACCAGTTGGTGACCCCCACCCTGGTTGCACAAAGATTTTGAAGTCCTTGAATGAATTACCTAATGCTTTGTCTAAATGGAGTAAAACCGGTAATACTGGATTGGTGACCCTAGGCTAATTCAACCTGTCCTTTCTTAGAGCTCAGCAGACCCAACCAGCCAGACCTGGTACAATGGTACAAACAATATCTGGACAAGAAAACACTGGACTGATTCTAAACATGTTTTTTGCATTACTTTCAGTTATCTTTTAACTTCTCCAATGCAGTGGGCTGCTTTAAATTCTGCTCACGAAGTGAGTCTAGCTCTGCCATCAAAGGATTCCTGTCCACTGGGGAATCCATAGATGTATGCCTGAGGTGGCTTTCAGATGAGACAAAGGGGTTGCTACAGCACCGTGCTTTAATACTTCCTTTTGGACATACTAAAGCACAGTGCAGTGCTGTGTGCATGGGTAAATTCCGCAGTTATGTTGCCGTAACCGTGCACTGTACTGGGGGATCACGCTACTACAGTGACAGAGCTGGTGTTCACATGTAGACCCCTGTGAACATTGTGCCGCTATGTTGCTATAGGGCAATGTGTAGATGCACCCAGGGAGATAAATACTACTATCTTCATTTTACAAATAGCTAAGCCAAGATGCAAAGTTGTGAAATGATTTGTCCAATGTCACAATAGGGACACTGGAAAGCAACAGAGTTAGAAATAGAACTCAGGTCTCAGACTTTTACTTCACTGGGTCATCCAATATACTGCACTAGTTCACTCCCATCAAAAGTCAACTTTACCACACACATACTTTATGATTACCTATACATTTTAAATTATACCTTATGACAAATGGAACAGGAGAGCAGACATTTAATAACAACTTACAAAACTACTGTTATTGAAAGAATCTGATCATAGCAGGAAATACAAGAACAGAGCTCAGATCAACACATTTCTGTGTACTTCATGGTTATATATTTGTTTTTAAATATATATTACTAGAATTGCTTTATATGAAAATATGTATGTTTGGCTTTCTAAAATGTCTAATTGATATCTCTTTAAGAATAGTTTAAATAATGATTGCCCCAGGGGTCAGTCCCAGAGCCAGTTTTGTTCAATATTTTCACCTGGAAGCTGGCATAGAAGTCTACAGATGACACCAAGCTGGGGGGAGTAGTAGACATGCTGGAGGGTAGGGCAAGGATTCAGAGTGACCTTGACAATTTGGAGGATTGGGCCAAAAGAAACCTCATGAGGTTCAATAAGAACAAGTGCAAAGTCCTGCACTTAGAATGGAATAAACCCATGTACCAGGACAGGCTGGGGGCTGACTGGCTAAGCAGCAGCTCTGAACAAAAGGACCTGGGGGTTATAGTGGACAATAAGCTGAATATGAGCCGGCAGTGTGCCCTTATTCCCAAGAAATCTAATGGCATACTGGGCTGCATTGGTAGGAGTGTTGCCAGCAGATCAAGAGAAATGATTATTCCCCTCTATTCAGCACTGATGAGGCCACATCTGGAGTACTGTGTTCAGTTTTGGGCCCCCCAGTGCAGAAAGGATGTGGACAAATTGGAGAGAGTCCATCAGAAGGCAACAACAATGGTTTGGGGGCTGGGGAACATGATTTATGAGGTGAGGCTGAGAGAGCTGGGCTTATGTAGTCTGGAGAAGAGAAGAATGACAGGAGATTTAATAGCAGCCTCCAGCTTCCTGAAGGGTTGTTCCAAAGAGGATGGAGCTAGATCAGAGGCAGGCAAAATGCGGCCTGTGGGCTGGATCATGGAGAGTGTGGAGTTGCCTCCTCTCCGGTTGCCTCCTCTCCTTCCTTCTCCTCCAGAGTTGCCAGGGCCTTGTACCCGTTCTCCAGCTGGACTGTGTTAAGAGCAGCCCTGATTCTGAAGGTGACTGTCTGCCACTCTTCAGTGGAGGGCACTTCCCGAGGGTGTGTGGCCCTGCAGGGAAAGGAAATAGCTATCAATTTCATCCTCCACCTCCCTGATTCCCCTCAGCCTGCTAACCTCCTCCTGGAGCTCCCTCACCTGCACCTCCAGGGCCCTAAGGCGGGCGCCTGCAGGACAGGTGTGGGGATCCCCAATCCATGCCCCCCTGGGCCTTGCTGGGCAACTCCTGCAGGCCAGGGAGTGGGGGGATGCCACCCCACCTATGGGTTCTGTCTGGGTGGAGGCCTCAGACAAGCCCCAGGAAGGCTGCACCCCCCAGGCAGGGGCCCTGGCAGCACTCTGTGTCGACACCATCTTAGGAGTTGCTGCTTGTTTTTAGCTTAGTGCAGTGCCTAATCTGCTGCACGGTTATCTGCTGCATGGCTGGGATCCATACAGCGCATCACAGAGCCTGCCTGACCTGGCCTGGCTTGGCCCCACCCGGCAGCATGCAGTTCCTGGCTGCAAGGCCAGGACCTATACAGTATGGCATGAGGCCAGCCCGGCTCAGCCCAGTACAATACAATTCTGGCTGCAAGGTTGGGACCTACATGGCACAGCACAGAGCCATCTCCTCTGTGCTTTACTGCTTGAATCTATGAATCCATGAAACTTGGGTCCCAGCCATGCAGCGGGAAACTGCATGATACCAAAAGGAGATGGGTTGGGGAGGCCTGGCTCCATGATGTGTCGTGCAGGTCCCAGTCTTGCAGCTGGGAACCGCGTGCTGCCAGGAGGGGATGGGATGGGCTGGGCTAGCTCCTTGATGTGCTGTGTGGGTCCCAGCCTTGCAGCCAGAACCATGTTGTGCCAAGACAGTGGGCTGGCCCTATGCCATGCCATATGGGTCCCAGACTTATATCCAAGAACTGCAGCCAGGAAAGGGACGGTGGGGCTGGCTCACCACCTCCCACCATACCCCCAACACACACCCACACCCTCCTGCTGCTCCCCCACACACTCCTACCCCCCACCATAAACCCACATGGCCACCCCATACCACAGCTGCCACACATAATCCCACCCCCATCATAACCCTCACACACTCTCACAACCCCACCATATCTACACACACACCAACACCCTCCCACACACCCATACGTACTCTCCACCATACCCCAAAACACACCGACACATTCCCACAGCCCTCACACATTCAAATCCCCAGCCCCACTATACCCACACACATCCTCCCACACACTCCCACCCCAACCACATACCCCACACCCACACCCCTCCATACTCATCTCCCACCCTCTCCGACAACCTCACCATACCAACACCCCACACACACCCCTCACACCTTCACACCCACTCCCCAATTTAGCACCGTCAAGGTTGCTCTCGTTTAGAAAACTTATCATGTTAACTTTAGTGTAACTTACATTCAGGAGGGCTACGTGCTAAAGTGAGCAAGAGCCCCCCTGAAACCTGACTTCTGTATTGGGCC